AAGGGGAAAAAAAAATAAGATTTTCCATGTGAAGAACTCCTGAAAGAAAATACTCTGGAGAAAGGTCAGTGTGATGGATCCAAAGCTGGATTCCTCAGAGCTGCTCAGAGAATGTGGAAAGTCTTCGCTGGACTCCACTTCTCCTGCCTTCCAGCTGGCCAAGGTTTCTCCAGACAAAGTCCAGTTTGCCCACCCCATACCTTTACATCTCAAAGGAGCCCTTGCTGTGAGGTGGAAATAGCTCCAAATGGAAGCCCAAGCAGTAGTTAAAATTATAGAAATGATAGAGGTTTAACTAGATCATTTAAGAGTGATATAATTTTTTATTTTGACTGTCATCTTTTCTGTTCTAGAGAAAAGGTGTAGCCTTTCTAATTTTTCCAACAATGGACTTTTATTCTTGGACAGACAGAGAATATTTTCTTTAAGTCTATCCCAAATTATTTAAAATTACTCATTCTACTTTTTGTGGCTTACCTTTTCAAAGTTTTATATTGTGTTTTTTGTAAAAGTCAGATCTGGTTAAAAAACAAACATGATTTTTAACATAAGTAAGATCCAAGTTTGCTCCATTTTGTTTTCGTTCATTAATGTAATTACTTTGCTCATACAGCTGTTGTGTAGAGGTCAAATGCCAAGGACTATGGGAGGCCCTGGTTCTCCTGTTTATCTGTCCTATGGTTTGGAGAGAGTTCCCCAGCTCTCTCTGAATCTGTTTTCTCATCTATTAAAACAGCTAGCTCTTTGACACAATTTTTAGAGTTGCCTTAGAGATCCAGTGAAATGGCTTCTCTTATAAGATGGTTAAAAACAAAAACAAAACAAAACAAAACAAACAAAGAATAAACAAACAAAAACAACAGGTTTTTCTTCCGCCTCTCTCCCTTCATTGTTGTATCGCAATAATCAAAAACACTGGAGATGACAGTCAGCTGCTTGTAAAACTCATAAACCGAACTGAATTAAAATACATATCAATGACTGATGCATACTAGCAAGTCTAACTTCAGGAAGCTGTATGGCGCTGACGCAGCAGCTCACTACCACGCCAGCTCGGAAACAGCAGGGATTGCGCCGACTAGAATCTAGCCGTCCAGCTGTGTTGTAAAGCCAACTCAGAAATGAGAGTGAGGAAAAATGTCCTAAATAGGGAAATCCTGACAATAAATATTTACTCGAGATAAATACAAAGTTCCTCCCAAATAATTTCTTAAATGGAAAAAAAAACCAAAAGAACCAAAAACCCCACAGGAATGAAAAATAAAGTTGAATTCTTAAAAGACAGGACAGCAAATGCTTAAGTAATCCAGATCGACACTTTTAGGCAAGCCAACCAACACCCTGGGGTAAAGTGGCAGCTTTGAAATACCTCGATAAGTCAGGGGTTATTTTATTTTATAGTGTTATTTTATGTCTGTGGATGTTTGCCTCCATGTATGTCTGTGTACCACTTGCAAGCCTGATGACCACAGAGGTGAGAAGAGGCCACAAGATCCCCTGGACCTGGAGTTACATGCAGTTGTGAGCCACCATGGGGGTCCTGGAAATCAAACCCAGATTCTCAAGAAGAGGAGCAGTGCTCTTAAGAGCTGAGCCATCTCGCCAGCCCTTGAGGGGTTATTGTTTTATTACTGAGCATCACATATACAGAAATGAAACTAGAATCATGTGCATACTGATGGGTGATCATTTCCCCTAAGACTGGCAACTGCTGAAAAATGTCAAAGCCAAAAAGCCAGTTTGTTTCTCAACATAAATAAAGGAAATAGTAAAAAAAAAAAAAAAAAAAAAAAAAGATTTTTTTTTTCAAAGCAATGTGTATCTCAGCATGACAAAACTGAGAGAAAACATACAAGCCATGGCAAAAAATAAATCTCACAATGACCCTTCTAATCAGAGGTGGTGGTTTTCAGCTTGGGATGAAAAATGAAAAATGAAATCCAATCATACTGTTGGGATTTTTTTCAACAAAAATGTGTATTGAAAAAAATAGGTAAAAGTTGAAAATAAAGCCAAAAAAAGAAGAGATGGGAATGTTAGGTAAATGCAAATAAAAGTGATAAGCCATTAAATACTTTATAATAAAATGTTGGATTCTATGTTATACTTTCAATAATGACTTTAAGGTAAAGGGCATTGTTTAGGATGACAAAAAGGTTGTCAAACTCTTCAGTGAAAAAAAATTAAGATTTGATGGAGAGTCAATTTTAAATTCACAAAAATTATTTTTAAATGCCATTCTGTACTTCTGGGTACTGAATACTATTACTATCTGAATACAATTCCTATCTGTCAAATGCCTACACATACTAACTTGCCACAGCTTTGGGTACTGCATAATCACATTAATTATTTCTATACATTTTAAAGGCTTTGCTCCCAATGTTAATTATTTTTTCATTTCAGATTCTATGTTTTTGTTAGTATTCTGAAAATCAGTTGGGCTTTGTGTATCTTGAAGTTAATGCCAGCCTTTTAAACAAAGTGACTCATTTCATCATACTTCTGTAGCTTTAACTTATTTTTATTTTATGTATGTATTTATGTATGTATGTACAGGACAGGAGATGCAAATATGAGTGCCTTCTGGGATTAGTGGAAATAGGGGCTACTAAGCCCAAATGAAAAAAAGTCAACCAGAATGAGCAGAAAGGAAAATACTGCTAGTATACACTGAAATTGAACTTTTCCTTTCTGAAAACATGGTAGTAATATCCCTGAGTGTCCATCAAATGATTATAAGTTTTGATTCTGTAACTGTAGAAATCTTTCTTCAAAAAAGCACTAGCAGTAATTGTGACAGTTATGGGCATTTATAATGGCAAAAGCAAACAAAACAAAACAACAACAAAAAAAACAAAAAAAACCTGAATGATTTCATTACACTAAAAGATTAAACAAGTTATTATACACCCAAATTGATGAATGCTGTGCCCTCATAATTTCATCACAATAGATGGCATAATAAAGGTTTTATGCCACATAAATGACCAGGTGGAACAGTAAGTGAAGAGAAGGACAGAAAATTAATAGAGCATATGCTAGCTAGTTTCATCTCAACAATGAAAGCTTGAGTCATCTGAGAGGATGACTAAGTTGAGAAATTCCCTCCATGAAATTGGATTGTTGGCAAGACTGTAGAGAGACCATGAGGGTAGGTACATCCCTGGGCTCATAGTCCTGAGCTCTATAAGAAAGTAGGCTAAGCCAGCCACAGGGAGCATGCCAGTGGACAGTGTTCCATGGCATCTACACCGGCTCCTGCCAGTTTCCTGCCCTAATTGCTTTCAGTGATGAACTGTGTTACCTGTTTATCAAATAAATCCCTTCTTCTCCACATTGCTTCTGGTCCTCGTGTTTCATCACAGCAGTAGAAATTCTTGACAGAAATTAGTAGCAGGATTGTGGGGTATTGTTGCGACCAACCTGACTGTGTTGTTTTGAGGAGGATTTGCAGAAGGATTTTGGAACTTTGGCCCAGAAAAGCTACTGAGTTTCCAAAGCCTGGTGAGCTGTTGTTCAAACCTGACCTGAAAGATTTGAGAATGGCACTAAAAGCAATGCAAATGATGGAGGCCTGGCTTGTGAGGTTTCAGAGGGAGGCAAAGTCTCTGTTGGGGTCATTGATATTTAAATTAAGAGTCTGTGATTCTGGTCAGCTGGGGCTGAAGAGTCAGTTGTGATTAACAAGAGACCAGTGAAACCTTTGCTTTCCTGGGACATTTGATGCTGGTTATCTGTAGCTGAGAAATTTGTAGTGTTTAAGAAGAGACAAGCATCACTGAGTTGAAATCTTTCTGGAGCTGTTTTCTCAGGTTCAGCACATAAGTGCCACGTTCAAGAGCTGGCCAAGATTTGTACCTTGTGCTGACAGCCGAAGTTGGTAGTTTGAAAGTCTCTCAGGTGGAACTGGGCTGAAAGCAGGACTGGGTCTTGGAGAGCAGCTGAGGCTTGGCGCTGTGAGAGGCCAAGACAAGCAATGGGTGAAGGTGTGGCCTCAGTAGCTGCTAAAGCCCTGGACTTGGGGGGTCATGCAGAGTGTTGAGGCTTGGCACTGTGAAGAGAGCCCAGAAGAGACTACTGGTGAAAGTGCGGCCTGATTGCCGCAGGAGACCCCAGCATTCTGGAGACCCCAGAGCAATGGGACTAAGATGGCGCTAGAAAGGAAAGGAGTGTGAGGGGACTCTCACTGTATCAAAAATGTTCAGACTGGAAAAATTATAAGAAAACAGGATTATCTATAAGTACTGGAACCTGGATGACTACCCTTATTTTTGTTCCTCTGTCTAGTTTCCAAATTTCTAATATTGGTGTTTATTATGGTATGTATTGTTTTATTATCCAGAAGAAAATATAAAACTCCAGCATTGCCGTGGTTATAAACTGACACTGAGAGCCACCTCACCCATCACCACTGGCGACCATGCTTGTTTTTCACACCCTGAGGAGCATCTGTTCTCTGAATTTAGCAAGCTGTGGGGTTGTTTGTTTGTTACTGTACTTTTTCCAAGTTTTCTAAGCTATTCAGTCAACTAGATTTTTAAAAGAGCTTAAGAAAACTGACCTAAGTAGTAATTACCAGACAGTGGCAAGAGCTGCCCACCAGCACACATACCCAACCCTTCCTTTGTGTGTTTGTGAGGCTAGCAATTGAACACAGGGTCTCTCTCACCACTGAGCCCCTCCTGCTGTGCTTTGGACTAAGAGAAAGATTTTTAATTCTATTTTAAAATTTGATGTTCTCTTTCTACAGGCTTCTTAGTTTTAAATCTCATTACTGTAATTAATAGATCTTTACTTTAGGATTCATTAAAAAAGCATCCTGTAAGAGATACACATCATGGCTGACTTGTTACTTTAAAATAGAGCAAGTCATTTGTGCTTGCGTCCAGTGGTTTTCAGACGGCTACCCTCCAAACTGTCATCCTGTCTGCAGGGATGTGAGATCATTTTGAATTTGGTTCTTGGCTAAATGCATGTATTATTTTTTTTAACTTTAGGAATGTATACAAAGACTATCGTTTCCTGGAGTTGGCCTGTGATTCCCAGGAGGATGTGGACAGCTGGAAGGCATCTCTGCTAAGAGCTGGAGTCTATCCAGATAAATCTTTAGTAAGTTTGAGATATTTCTTATCTAAAAGAAATCATTGCAAATACCATGTTGAAGAAAATGTATCATTTTCTATATGTTAGTGAAACAGGTACTCTCTTCTATTTAATTTGGCCCTTTTTGCTGTAGCTTTGTTGTGTTTTTTTTTTATGCTTTTTTTTTCTCAATCAAATTTCTTCAAAAGCTAATCAGTGCACTTGGTAAAGAAAATATCCCATTCTGCCTCTACATATGTGCTCTTAGACCAAGAGAAATATTTTAATTTAAAAAAAAAACTTTTGATGTCCTAAATACATTATCTCCCGGCTGATATGGTACTACTATACCATCAACCATGATAATAACATTTTATATTTATATTTACATTTTAAAGTGTGCTTATTTTTTAAGGCCTTCTTTTGCTATGTCAGTATAACTTGTATCCCAGGTTATGTCTGATTGAGACTCTGGGTAATGTCACTCTGAGTGTAAAAAACAGAAAGAAAACATAGCTCTTCCCACTTATCTTTATTAATATGCTTCGAGTGTCTGGGAGACACTTCTCTCCTTCAAGCTAATAAACAGACCTTCTCTCTGTGCTCTTTACAAAATGTTAGTATTGCACAGGCGTCTCTGAAATTAAACTTCAGAAGTTCCGCCATTGTCTTTGCTCACACCAACCAACATAGTGTGCCAGCCTCTCTCTTTCTTTCTCATCTCTTCCTTCCTCTCTCTATCGCTTTCCTTCTCTCTCCCCCTCTTTCTTCCCCTCCTTTTCTTCCCTCCCTCCCTTTCTACTATCCCCCTCTCTCTCTCCACTCCTCCCCACCCACATGCTGCTCCCTAAATCTTGCCATGATCCTTGCCTCTTCTCAGAACTAACATGCTAAGATTGCCCTGAGGATTGAATGCAGCAGGAGCCTCACAGTTCCTACCTGGCTCTCTGAATCTAGAGCTGATTGTGCACAATGGCATCCATTCTAGGCTCCGAGTAGGATATAAGTCTTTTCAAGACAAAGTCTGACATAAGGACGCAGTGAGGGACAAGTGGAACATTTAGAGTAGAGGGAGCATCATTTCCATGGGGTCACACTGGAAACCTAATGAAATCCCAGGGGCAGAGTCAATATTTGTACAAATATGAGTCCCCATCCTACTTTAGCTCAAACATAGACCCCTTCTCGATTCTGCACCTCTGTAGTTAATACCTAAAGCACCTCTGTAGTTAATACCTAAACTTCCAAACAAGTTCTGTGCCCTCTACATGGCAGGAGGCTTTATTGCTGTCAAGGTATGCACATGTGTCTATGTCATTTTTCTATTGCTGTCTGGCTTTTTATTTTCATGCTTGCACATACAGATTCCCCTAGGTAAATCCTTCCCTCAAGACTTTTCAAAACTCTGGGTGACACTTGTCTAATTGCAAATTATTACTCTTCCATACACATTGCTTATACTGTTTGTATACATAAGTATTTTGGATTAAAGTGCATGTATATTTCATTCTTTTTTTCATTTCTAACCTGATGCACAAAAGGTTCCAAGCACATGACTTTCATCATCCTAAACATCAGGAAGATAGATGAGCTACAAGGCCATTGAGCAGGTGACTGTTTGGCCATGATTATGCAGCATTATTTAAGTTGACGGTAAGCTCTGCTTGAAAAGTGAGTGAGCTACTGTTCACCTGCAGCGCCAGTGATTTGTGAGGCTGATGCCAGAAAATAGCAAATCCACATTCTTCCCTGGGCTACTGGGCGAGTTCAAGGACAATCTAGGCAACTTACTAAGAGCCTGTCTTGAAAATGCAAAAACAGTTCTACTTTCTATGCAGGCATCTCTGTTTGCCTGGGGGAAAATTATTTTTAAGCTGTGTGTGTGTGGGGGGGTATGTGGCTGGTTAGATATGTACACTTGTGAACATATGTGTGTACGTGGCGGCATACATATATGTGTGTCCATGGTGTGTGTGCTGGTCAAAGGACAATGCGGGAGAGCCAGACCTTGGATGCTTCTCTTCTTTTTTTTTTTTTTTTCAATACAAAATCACTCATTGGACTGGAAATTCACCAATTAGACCGTGAGAGATGGCTGTGAGTCTCCCAGGGATCTCTCTGTCTCCATTTTCTATCCTGTCTTGCTAGGTTACAGACGTGTGTCACCGTGCCTGGTTGTTTATTTGGGTTCTGAAGGATTTGAACTCAGGTCCTTGTGTCTGGGAGGCAAGTATTTATGACTGAGTCACCCATCTCCCCAGCCTGGAAAAAAAAATCTATTTTCATCCTTTTTTTTTTAAGAACCGTGTAAGTTTGATATCATTTAGATAAGCACCTGTTACTCAATTTGAATGAAATGATGTTTGGGGCCAATTAGTTCACCTATTAAGATTTTACAGGTACGTTTTAAATAACATCATCACTATTTCTGTTGACTCCATGTAATAGACTATCATCTGTCACTCACCTCAAAAATGTTCCGTGATCCTGTTTCTTATCTCCTAAACACTTTCTCTGGGGACTTCCTTTTTGAAAACATATCCTCTTTTCATTCCTTCCCTTTCCTAACCGCCTTTTCTTCTTTGGTGCTTTCCAACTCATCCAGACTAGCTGGCTCAGTCAGACCTAGGGGTCCTCCTGTTTCCACTTCTCCATTACTGGAACCATAGGCCTGGACCACCATGCCAAGCTTTTACATGGGTCATCATGCAAAGGTGGCAAGTACTTTGCCAACAAAGCTTTCTCCTCTGCCCCGATTTCTTTTAATTCTCTCTCCTTTGGCTATTAAATGGAAGCTGTAGCCAATATAAAACTGTGTGTTGCTAAGTGTACAGGGCTCCACACGGTCTCAAAACAAAGATGGTTTTTATTGGAATTTCTAGCTAACTTCAGAATAAGATACAAACTGTACGTGTGTACCAGTGACTAGGAACTATTAAAACTCTCAAAAGACCCTTTTACCAACATGTGTGCATAAACTTTGCTTGAAAATTTGATTACACATAAATATGAATTTGACCCAAGGTACATGATATGATAAATATGACTTTCAGACACAGTATCATTGGCTTTGACTATGACATTAAGCAATTCTAAATTCAACTTCTTTGGCCCATGCAGTGTGCAGTGGGATGGGATAGACATAAAAGCAAACCCATTCTGTATGTCCTGACACTGCTGTGCATCAGTCCTGTGGCTTAGGCACCTTGACTAACTCTCTGGTCATTTACTTCTCTAAGCTCAGGAGAGCATCTTCCTCAGAGAAGTTTCTGGTGGTCACCACTAGCTCCGTGCCTTCCCCAGGTAACTGTGTTTACGGCAGCACGGCCTTTATCATTCTTCAGCATCCTGAATATAGATACAAAGCTGAAAATTTCAATCTTACGCTAAGTTTTTTTTTGGAAACCATTAGCGGGATTTGCCTGTGTCAAAGAGAAATTTCTTATCTGTTGTTTAGGAAGCAGCTTGTTTAAATGGAGTCCTAAGAGTGCCTGGGGGACAGGCCAACCTCCAAGATTGAAAATGGAGGGCACAACTTGGCCCAGGGGCTGTGAGGCAACCCAGAAATCTCACGCCTGCACTTAGAAGCTGGCCCTCCAGCCATGGAAAAAGGCAATGTGAGATCCAGGCATGCCCTGGAAATGATTTGGTGGCAAGTCAGTTAAGAAACCTCAGAGTGTTTTAACAGGTTTCTGTTCCCTGAAAAACACCACACACACACACACACACACACACACACACACACACACACACACAC